TAAATGAGGAAAACACACCTGTGAGGGAGAGAACCGGTCCTGGTTTATCCTGCATAGTGGAGAATGTCAATTGTCGAATGGAGCGTGTTGATGGAATGCATTCGGAAGGTCCCGAGGAACAGGTGATCTGAACTTTCAGGCATTCGAAGCCATCAAACTACTGTGGGAAATGTTTTCTCTGAAGGCTTTACTAATGATAGTCTGGTGGTGGACGGGAGGTGGGGTGCATGGTGGCTCCCAATCAAATGAACATACTGAGAAGTCTACCAGTAGTGACGAAAGCACTAAAAACCGCCTAGAACTCATGAACGAGTGAGATAGAAGTGACTTGCTACTGGTGGTGTCACATAAAAATCATCCATATCCTCTGTTTCCCGGGGTCCTCGGGGATCAGCTACTGCCCAGGTAAGCAAGTCTTCTTGCCTCTAAGGACGTATATTGGTACCAGATTCGTCTGGGAGGATAAAACACTGACTTGTACATGGCTGGCCACCGCAAGTCATTGTATAGGCCACATCGCATTCAATAAGCCACTACGATTCTGAATGGAAGTAGAATGCGTGCCGCATCCCACAAAGGGATTGATCAACGGCGAAGACTTTCCTTTTAGCCTTTTTATGCTCTCTTCTACCTTCACTTTCTCCTCTAAGACTTGTAATGCTTCAAGGCTCAAGCAAGGCCCAACGTGGTCCTCTTTTGATGTAGCAAAGAGCGGCGACGGTCCGATAAAGGAGACAATTGTCTGACTGGCTCCGCCCTTACGATTCTCATGGAATTGGCGGCTACCGATGAAGAGTCGTGCTGATTCTATGCGTGAATAGAGAACACAATAACTTGGAGCCTTCAAAATGGCACCATCTATTGAGGGCACGGTGTAGCTCACCAGAGGGAGTCTAGGATCTCTGTATGGATTCTAGAGTTTTATTCTCGGAGGGGAACCACTAGGTTTATGAACTGCTTTACCAGTTGGCTTCCTTGTCACTCAATCCAACCTTAGTCTTCTGCCTGTCAGCATTCTAGAGTACCCATCCAGTTTTAATCCTCTAAGGCGCTCCTATTGCAAACCCTAGAATGGAAGGGCTATTTTGGTACCGCAGGAGCTATGAACGTCAGAGAAACTTGTACGCCATCTAACAACAGCCTTCTATGAGTGGCTCCCCCCTCCGAATGTCTTGAAGTACTCACCTTTGAGTTCACTGTGTACTTGTGGAAAGGTCGTAACCCATTGAAGTTCTATTGGTGAGAAGCTTTTCGACTGAGCTTTCAACGTCTTGTCAAGTACCACATGGGAGTGCATGTCCAAGACAATGGCATTCAGCGAACACTCCGGATCAGTCCTCGTCCTGCAATGATAATTTAGCTGGAGATCAGTAAGAGCAGTTGACAGAGCTCTAGAAGAGAACTTACGGGAGAAATGAAAGCAGCATGAAGTTTAGCGGAGCTTCGAGTGACACCATGAACGGAGATGTTCACTGGAGGAGCTGACATGCGGAAAAAGTCGTTATACCTGTTTCCGAGACAATTCCCGATTGCGTCACAGTGAAAATTTGCACCTAAAAACAGGAATGGGTTGCCTGTCGTAGCGGGCAATGGCTGGAAATAAAGCTGTTGGCCAGATGCCAAAAGATCGCCGTATCAATTGGAACGCCTACTTTGTAGCAGGTACCCTTTTTCAGAGCTCCTACGACGAGCGGAGCTGCTGCGTGAGGATCACCCTGTAGGCGACTCCCTTTTTCGGTGCCGTCGGCTGGAAACAGTCGCATCTGAAGCTGAGACTTCGGGCCGACCACCTGTAATCATTAGACTCTACTCAGCAGTCCTTCCCCTTCGCACTATGGACTTACCTTATTCCATACGTCTCGCATCCTCGACATAAACACGTCACTTTGAGGCCATGACAACTTCACACCGTTTTGCGACTCCTGCATTGAAAATAATTGGACTTTTTATTTTTCTCGGCCTGAAGGGGCATGTGGTACCTGAAGACTGAGTCCAAAACCAGTCATGTCAAATGCTGGGGTCAACACGACACTTCGGTGTAACTTGGTGCTCGTCACATTCTTGACGAACGTGGACAATGTGAATTCGAATCGTTCTCCAGGGAAAAGTGGCAGAAGAATGGAGCAGCTAAAAGTTGTGAGATACCACAAAAAAATAAAAAACACCAGGTACGCGACAAATCGGGCACGAAAAAAACTGAGGAAAAAAGAAGTAGCCTAGCTTCCGCTTCAATTTGGCTCTTATTTCGAAGCCGACCAAAAGCACAATCCTGACACATATTCCACGTTCCTGCTATGGGCGGGGCGGTGCAATTTGAATGATGCGAGCCACCTTTCTAGCAGACCAAAGCGAAAGAATCGTCAAATAGACCGTCAATGTGCCCCATAACACGGATGCTGGGGCATGTCAGAGGGCTCAGTTTGTAGAATCGGCAGCGAGTACTCCATCGAGTGCTGTCGTTTCCCCTTTTCTACGATTGAAGGAGATCGTGCTGGCGCTGCGCCAAACTATTCCCCTCCCCTTTTTGACACGCCTCAGCATCCTAGGCAAACAATGCCTTTGAAAATATGCCCAAGGTGCACTCACAACCCATGGTGGTCATAAATGGAAAAGAAATGATTACTCGAAATAGTAAAGTAATGGTCACCTTTTATTGCCCTCCTTTTCATCCACTTCTCCATCATCCTCGAGCGTCTCCA